GCTGGGAGGTTGGGCCCAGAGATCTGAAGAAGCGCCCTGGCCCTTGAAGGAGAGCCGTTGGGACCCCCTGCCCATCCCCAAGTCCAGCCACCTCAGTGGAGAACCTCATTGCCGAGCTCTGAGAAGGAAAAAAAATCCAACTTTTTCCTTCTACCTTCTTCCAGCCAGAATTCATTCTTGATCCCTTTGATGCAAGAGCTTGGGGTGGTGGTGATGGGTCTGGACTCAGCATTTTCCGGGTACCTGAGAGTTAACCTGAAACATTTTGAATTAGTTTCAACCTTCATGGGGAGCTTGTGCTAACCCCCAGAGCTGTCTTTGCTGCCCCCAGAGTCTAGGGGAGCGGCTCTGACGTCATCTCTCCAGTTCCGGATGAGGTTGTAAACGTGGCTGATTAGAGCTGACCCCAGAACCCAGATTGAGCTCAGACGGCGCAGCAAGCGTTTATGTGTTTGCTTTAGTTTTTGGGCCATTTGCTTCCTGAAAACGGAAAACCAGTGAGAAACTTTTCATTAATTGCGCTGGGGGTGAGATTGGATGGGATGGGTTGGCACTACTATCTCAGTCCTTGTCCCTGGAGTGGGCTGGCCGCGCTCAGAACAGCCAGTTTCCTGCCCAGGGTGGGGACCCAGGCTGACGGGAGCTGTTAACCTTTGGGATGACTGCTTAGGGGGAGGACAGGATGAGGCAGCCCTCAGTGGCGCCGGGAGTCCCGAGGAGGGAGGACCCTGGACCTGAGAGGGCGAGGCGTGGCCATGTTTGCGTCCCAGGGTTGCCCTTCGCGGCCTGGGTTCCATCCCCAGCTGCCTGCCCCACTGGACCACTGCAGGGGTGGGACGGGGCGGGAGGCGGTGGTGGCTCGCAGACCCATCCCACGGTTGGGTAACGAGAATGTTGGATAAGAGAGGTTAATTTCTTTATAACCCAAGTGCCTCTCAGAGAGGAGCATTCCAGCCCCCTGCGGCCCCTGGCAGTGGGCACGTCGGGCTCAGTGGGTGCCTGCTGCTGTGACTCTGTTGTCTCAGTGGACCCCCCCCCTCCCCACCCATCAGCACCGCTTCTGTGTGTGGACCCAGCTTGGGTGCGGTGGCCTTACTTCAGATATTCGCAGAATCCCCCTGGGTGCTTTGGAACAGCTCTGCCTCTCTGGCGTTATGGTCACCTTCCTAAGCTGGAGACTGGACATGGTACCATTGAGGCCCTGAACTTGGCCTTTTCTCTGCCCCTCCAGTTTTTTCTTTTCTTCATCATCTCCTCACATCTTCAAATAAAAAATTCCTTTCTTACCTACCGTGTGGCCTTGAGGTCTGGTCACCCTGTGCCGTTGCCATTCCAGGCATGAGATTCATTCATGAGCCTCTGGTCTTCTAGAAGGGTCTGGTCTGTTCATTCATGACCAGGGTAATTAAATAACTCTTTGTGCGAGGCAGGGAGCTCCTTGTTAAGTGGTCTTCCCTAATGCAAGTGCAAACAGGAGGCAAAGTCCTTCCCCTTCTCCACACCGCCTCCCCCCTTTTCCTCTTAAAGGGTAGATTTTTATGCTTAAAGGGAAATTGGGAAGGGGGGTGGGGACAACCTTAAAGGAATTTTAGGCCGATTCAGCACTTTTCTGGGGTTGCTCCAGAAATTCCCTGCACTGTAATAAAAAGAAAAAATTGTGAGCAGGCTTCTGATTAGTTCGCTTTTTACAACACAGCTTTTCTTTTGGATGCTTTAAAATGCACAAATACGGTTTTAAGACAAGCCCCTGTACAGTTTTCTGAGGAGGGAGAAGTTGTTGAAAAATACCGGAAAAGGTTATAAAAGCTGAGGGAAATTAACAAGGGACGTTGAGTTGTGCCTTTGGAGGTTAAGTATCAGCCCCTAGGATACGAAGACCTTTCCTCGGTCCTTCTAACGAGGTGGGGGGACTTGTTTTTCTGTGCACGGCCCTCCTGACTCCTCACCTCGAGACCTGGGAGGCCCCAGGAGCTGAGCGTCTGCAGAGACCTTTGTGGGGAGATGCTTGTGGGCTGCGGGCCTGGTTCAGGGAACTGTGTTTCTCTGAAGATGCTGCTGAGGACTTCCCAGAAATGAGCCCAGATGCCGGGAGTCCAGGGCTAAGGAGGGGAATCCAAAGTGGCAATTTGGGGCATTGCACTGCGCCCCTAAGACGTGTGCTGTGTACCCTCTGGCAAAGGGTTTGCGTGAGAGCTTGTTTTCGTGCTCAGAGCTATAGTTCAGGAGCAGCAAGGAGAAGAGGTATCAGGGTGCTGGGGACTGCAGGGTGACAAGGGAGGGTTGTGTGGGGGCCTCCAACCCCCCACTTAGGGCACTTTCAGTGGGCTTTCAGGGGGCCTTGTTCACATCCAGGGACACCCGCATGCTGCCGTTTATCTGGGCTGGACCATTCACCTCCACAGAAAGAGACTCTTTGCAGGGGATGTCTGGAAGCAAATTGCTGGGTGGACTGGCAGGCTGCACAGATGAAAGAGAAACCCACCAGAATGCCCTCCCTCTGTCCCTCCCCCCTCTACTGTCTGGACATCAGGCCCCAGCCCCCACCGACCCAGCTTCCCCTGCCCCGCTGAGGCCCAGCAGGCCCCGGGGGCCTGGTACAGGGGCCACTTGATCTTCAGCGCCCTGACCTCTTCCTCCTCCCTCCCGCCCCCCAGCAAGCCCTCTGCTAGAGAGGATGCCAGGCTTCGGGAGAACCATGCCAAGGGTCTCCTGCCTCCCTCCCAGCAACTCCTTCCTTTCCAGGCCAGTTTGTTGTCCCGAGTTGGGATAATAGCACTTTTTACAGTTTGAAACACTCTCTCCGCTCCGACAAGCAGGAGGGGAGGGCAGGCGCCCCTTGCCTTGCAGAGGAGTGCCTTATCCTCCCCAGCAAACTTGGATGCCAGAGCGTTTTTATTTACGTGGCTGTTCTGGGTCTTTGGTGTGTAGCAGTCGTCAGAGCCCAACTCCCTCGGCAAGAGGGTTCAAAGATTGCCAGCGCTCACGAGTTTATTAGCAGTTGATGGATACTTTGCAGAAACAAGTTAATGCCTGATGACTCACCTTCTGCTCTGAGCCCTTGTCCCTCTCTTGTTTTTCCATATGTTCCCGTGTGTGTGCACGCAAACACACACTCACAACACACAGCTGAAGCGCGTTCACATTCAGGCACACAGCCTCTCTCGTGCTTGTAGTTCAGAAAGGCCTGTGAGGGTGGGGGTGGACAGGCCAGGTTTCTGGTGTTGATTTTAGGGGTGGGGGTTGCGGGGAGGCTGGACCCTTAGTCTCCCCATTTTGTGTAGCTGGTGGGGCAGGCCTTTGAGAAGGCCAGGTGGGGTGTCTTGGGGACCACTGCTCAGGCTGTCCCAGGGGGTCACCAAACACATTTGTACAGGCTTATTCACGGGACAGCATGCAAGGCAGGCTGCTGCTTTTAAAAAAAAAAAAAAAGTTAATGGAGCTGACTGGTTCCCAGGTCCTGACATGCCTGTGAACGTTGGAAGGAGTTGGTGTACTGCGCTGCGCTGGTTACCCAGCCTGCCGGGGCAGCAGGACACCGGGCCCCATCCCTGCTCCAGCCCTGGCCTCTGTGCTGATACCCCGGCATCTCCCAGGCACTAAAACCCAGGGGTTCCACAATCAAAGAGGCCCAAACCAACCAGAGAAGTCTCACACCACCCCCAGCCGTGGTGTCCCAAGCCCCCCACCCCAGTAAGTGAGAGGCAAGGACTGCAGGGAGGGCAGGAGGAGGAGGCCGCCTGCCCGGCCTTTCCCCATTTTTGTTAACAAATACAAGACTTCCGGTCTCCGCCCTGCCACCACAAACCACAGCGTTCCTGCAGCCTGGCTGGGCTGGGGGAGATTTATGGTTCCCAGTCTGAGGCCTGCCCCGCCGGCTCCAGCTTAAGGAGGAAGGAGGAGTTGGAATGCCAGCCGCTGGAGGCCCCCCTTCCCTTCCCTGGATCCCCCTTTTAAAGACCCCCACCCCCACCCCCAGCGCCGGTTCAGGAAAAATCACCTTACCAGAATCACCCCAGTCTCCCCTGCTGCCTGTGGGTAGAAGCACGGTCTAGGAAGGCAGGGGTGGGGCCTCCAGGGGAGGAGGGCGACGGGAGGGGGCAGGGCACAGGGTTGAGTTGCTTCTGGGAGGGAGGGGGGAGAGGGGGAGGGGGAAAGAGAAGGGCCTGCAAGCGTGGCCGAACCCACTGTAGACGTGCTGTCTTCTGTCTGGGCTCTGATACCAGGGTGCATGCGGTGATTTGGCATTGAGACGTGAACCCACCCTTTGTATACAGATCTGCTGCTGATGGGCACGCCGAGAGTTGCTTTTCTATTAAGAAGACAGGTTTTTTTAGTTTAGTTTTGTTTTTTTACCCCAAACCACCTCCATTAAGGTTTTTCTGAACAGTGATCCCTTATGACCAAAGCACTGATCTGGAACCGGGTGACAAGCTCAGAGACTGTCTAGCAGGTGGTCCTGGGGTCCAGGTCTGGCTCTTTCGTCTCTGGAGCCTGAGGGGAAGAAAAGCTTTCTGAGTCTAGGTTTTCTCATGAGGATGACTTGAGGCTGGAGCCACTGGCCTTCAAGGTTCCATCCCGTTTAAAAGAACTGAAATTCTGGACCATCCATGTGTAACACCTTCTCTAGCCCTAAAACCAGGGCCAGCCAAGTTACTGAGTGGTCTTGGCTTCTGAGCTCTGCAAGGATGGGGCTTTGCCTTTGGCCAGGTGGGCACATGTCCTGTGTTCTTGATAGAGTCGGGGGGAATGGAGGGAAGAGACTCCCCAGCCGAGCCCCATGCTTAGAGACAAGGCTTTTACATCACTGGGTCAAGCTTTCCAGGCTCCCGGTAGGAGGAGTGTCCAGCCTGCATAACAGCCAGCCACCTCATACCTCCTTCTGTCTTGCACCAAGAAACAGACCAATTGTGGGGGTATGTGTGTATATGTTTTGGTTTCGGGAGGAAGAGGAAAAGGCCAGTCTCCATCACCACTGACCATGTGCGCCTTTTGTCTTCCAGATTCCCAACTTCTTCTGGAGCCTGGGGATCGGTCACACTGGTGCGTGGTGGCATACTGGGAGGAGAAGACGAGAGTGGGGAGGCTCTACTGTGTCCAGGAGCCCTCCCTGGACATCTTCTATGATCTACCTCAGGGGAATGGCTTTTGCCTCGGACAGCTCAATTCGGACAACAAGAGTCAGCTGGTGCAGAAAGTACGGAGCAAAATCGGCTGTGGCATCCAGCTCACGCGGGAAGTGGACGGCGTGTGGGTGTACAACCGCAGCAGTTACCCCATCTTCATCAAGTCGGCCACACTGGACAATCCGGACTCCAGGACGCTGTTGGTACACAAAGTGTTCCCCGGTTTCTCCATCAAGGCTTTTGACTACGAGAAGGCATACAGCTTGCAGCGGCCCAACGACCATGAGTTCATGCAGCAGCCGTGGACTGGCTTCACCGTGCAGATCAGCTTCGTGAAGGGCTGGGGCCAGTGCTACACTCGCCAGTTCATCAGCAGCTGCCCGTGCTGGCTGGAGGTCATCTTCAACAGCCGGTAGCCACGTGGGGAGAGGACAGAGCGGGAGCCGAGTGGGCCCAGTCCAAACTACTTTGCTGCTAATATTTCCCTCCTGAGTGCTTGCTTTTCATGCAAACTCTTTGGTCATTATTCTCCCCCCACCCCCACCGCCCACCCTCCTTCTTCTCGTTGTCCTTGTTTATGTTCTGTTTTGTTCTTTGAGAAATAGCTTATGAAAAGAATTGTTGGGGTTTGGGCGGGGAGGGGGAGAGTGGTATGGTTGGCAGAACACTGCGATACGAAAAAGGGGAAGCAAAAAATCAGTACCACTGAACACCATGTAAATGGGGAGCAGGCCCCAACTTTGGGGTCATCACTGCCCTTGTCACGTGTGTGTGTGTGTGTGTGTGTGTGTGTGTGTGTGCGCGCGCGCGCGCGCACGCACCCGTGAGTGCATGTGTGCGGGTATGTAGACAAGGGGAAGAGGTGTGCTGTGTTTCCTACGCATGTTTCCCGCTGAGAGGTCTGTGTCTCCTTTGCCCTTTGGACACGCTCAGTGGGGCAGCGGGTGCCCCAGCAGAAGGCTCTGTCCCCAGAGCCTGGGGAAGCCCCCACCCCGTCTCGCCCCTTCTCGGACGTTGGCCTGTCCGCAGGCTTCTCCGAAGTCACCCCGCCAGAGGCTGGACCAGAACCCGTTTCCCCGTGCTGCCCCACTCCCCTCTGGCCACCCCGCTGCCATCGTCATAGCTGTCTGTCTTGGCCATTTGCTCCTGGACGTCTCTGAGATGGGCTTCCCAAGGGCTGCCGGGGCAGCCCCGTCACAGTATTGCTCACCCAAGCGCCCTCTCAGGCCCCTCCGCCTCTCCCCTGCCCTGGTTACATCAGGTTTTTCCTGGACTCACAAAGCCAGCTCAGCACTTTCCTCCCCTCCGCAGCCTGTGTGTTGAGCTCTGCTGTTAGACCAGCGAGGGGAGCAGCCCCCCACCCCCCACCCCTTCCCACCAAGAAGGATTCGGTCCATCTTAACCCAAGGTACCATCCTGAGCTGACACCTAACCCTTTTCATTTCTTCTACAACTCATACACTCGTATGATACGTTGACACTGCTCTTAGCTCAATGAGCATGTTTAGACTTTAACATAAGCTATTTTTCTAACTACAAAGGTTTAAATGAACAAGAGAAGCATTCTCATTGGAAATTTAGCATTGTAGTGCTTTGAGAGAGAAAGGACTCCTGAAAAAAAAACAAAACCTGAGATTTATTAAAGAAAAAATGTATTTTATGTTATATATAAATATATTATTACTTGTAAATATAAAGACGTTTTATAAGCATCATTATTTATGTATTGTGCAATGTGTATAAACAAAATAAAGAAAAGATGCACTTTGCTTTAATATAAATGCAAATAACAAATGCCAAATTAAAAAAGATAAACACAAGATTGGTGTTTTTTTCTATGGGTGTTATCACCTGGCTGAATGTTTTTCTAAAGGAGTTTATGTTCCATTAAACAATTTTTAAAATGTATACTTGATTCCATGTTGTCCTCCAGCTCCTTTTTCTTCTGACGGGAGGAGGGTAGGATGCAGCCATCAGAATCCAGGACACTTGGGGGTCTCCCAGAGTTTGGTGGGGGAGGAAGCTTGGTTGGGGGAACCAGAGAAGGGAGAGACATCCAAAACTGCTCGGTCTTCCTCAGATCCTTAGGCAGTCACCCTAGGGTATAGCTGGTGGGTGTCCTCAATTTGTAATGGGTCTACCTTGGGGAGCCCTGAGTTGCAAAGGCAGCTGATTTTTCAAAGCCTGAAGAGTTGAGAAAAGGCGATGTCATCTCAAATGATGGGGATGAGCTTGCCCTGAGACATGGGAAGGTAAAGCCCCAAGCACTTGGGCTTGTTAACTCCTCGATTTACGTTAAATCCTGAGAATACTGCAACTTTCCCAGAGGAAGGTCACTGCCACCCTGGGTTCCAGGACAGATTCCCTGAGAGCTGAGGCCCTGGGGTAGAGATGAGGCGGAGGCTGAGTGTTGGTGGTGGGCGGAGGTCTCTCCAAGGTCTGCCAAGTTCTGTACTGGGCACTTGGGGAGCTGGAGTTGGCTGGAAGGAGTGCCTCTGCGAACACTCTTCCAGATCTCTCATCCCTTGGCCCGGACCAGCTTAGCCGTAGTGGCGTCTGCTGGTAAACTGCCCCTCCAGGACTGCCCCTGGGATTTCCACTGCTTGATCTGAGCTACATTTTAGAGTCAAGGCCTCTCGCACAAGAAATAGGTCCAAACCAGGCTGTTTTCGTGTCTGAGAGTCTTGAACCTTAAGATTTTGGATATCACAAACTGATACAATTTCAGAAAAAAGTTTTTGCAGGCCCAAAGTAGGATGGCCAATTTTTCATTTTGCCGAATGATGCAAAGCGTTACAGCCTACTGGCACTGCTACTTTAATTCAAGGGAATTCTACAATTGTGCAACAAGAAATGTGTGTGTGCATGCCTAGTAGCTCAGACGTGTCAGATTCTTTGTGGCCTCATGGGCTGTAGCCCACCAGGCTTCCCTCTCCATGGGATTCTCCAGGCAAGAATACTGGAGTGGGTAGCCGGTCCCTTCTCCAGGGGATCTTTCCGACCCAAGGATTGAACCCAGGTCTCCAGCATCGCAGGCAGATTCTTTACCGTCTGAGCCACCAGCTGAGCCAGATGGTCATCCGGGCCAGCTTGTTCCACGAGGTGATGTGGAACTCACCCCCACTCAAGGCAGCTCTTCATCAGTTGAACTGAAACCTGCCTCCACTTATTCTTGTTCTGCAACCTGGAATAAGTGTAAAATCCCATGTCTGGAAAACACCCAAGGAGGGCTCTAATTAACTCCCGGGTGGTAGTGGTGGAGGAGGGGTGGGGTGGAAGGTGTTACATTAGGGAGCTGTCAAAGGCATTTTTGTTTGCTCTTAACTTGCATCAGCATGCCAGGAAGCTCTTTAATAATAATAATAGCTACCATTTATTGAATGCTTAGCTGGTTGCCAGGCACAATGTTAAGCATTTAAGAGAATTATTTAATCCTCGCTAGGACCCCCTGCAAAACTGAAGGCTCTGAGAGGTTAAAGGACTTGTCCAAGTTCACCTGGTGAGGAAGTGCTTGGGGTGGGGGGCAGGGCCCAATTCTGGCCCTACTTTTTAGTCCATACTCTGTAGAGATGTTATTTGGGGTGCCTCAAAGCAGGCGGAGGTGGGCCGCTTGCTGTGGGCCAGGCGAGCTGCATGGGCAAGGCCTCTGGGTCCAGAGGAAAGAGCTGTGGCATCACCTTCACACCCTCCTCTGTCACCTGGACTTGACTCTCAGCCCATCAGGCTGGAACTGGGCTGCTGGCAAGTGGGCCCCAGTGGGATTGCTGACTCTGAGTCAGGGAAAGAGGCGTACTTACGGGAGACCCCATGTTTTCAGACACAGCACTGAGCGGCCATCACCAGAGCCAGCCGCTGGGCACCTGCCATGTGCCAGGATGTGCAGAGGACATGTGGCTTTGATGGTGCTGGAGGACAAGATGCCTACACCCGAGGGTGGCCAGCAGCACCGGCGGAATGTGTTGAGTGAGGAACTAGGACCTCCAGCCCAGATGGAGTTCAGATTCATGGAGGGAAGGACCAGACCAGACGCTCCCTAGAAAGGAAGTTTTCCTGCCACCTGATTCTCCTTCCTCTTTCAGCTCACCAGTCAGATTTGGGGCCCATCACAGGTTCTGCACTCTGCTCTTTTCACAGGCCACATCCTGTCCCCAGGTAACGACACCACTCAGGTACCTTCATCTCCCCCCTCCTATGAGGCTGCAGCTGCCCACCCCCATCATGAAGACACAAACCAGAGCCTGTCCTCCCTGCCTCAGTCGGTCCACGGTTAGAAGATGCAAACCTTTCTCACGTATGTTCCCTTGCCCTGTCCCCACTAGTATGATTTAGTTTGGGACTGTCTAGAGCCTCCTTGGCCTTCCTTCCTCTGCTCCAGGTTTCCCTTCAGCATCTGCCCGCACCAATCTCATGCTTTAGCCCCTCAACACACACGCGCACACACACACACACACCCTCGGTCTTGGTACCGCATTCAGGGTGACTTGCAGTTCCTCAAACACACCTTACTTATGTGTTTCTAAGCAGGAGCTTTCCAGCTCCTTCTTCAATTGACTTCTTATCCTTCAAGATGCAACTCAGACTAAACCTCCTTCAGGAAACCTCTCCCTTAAGAATTTCTGCTCTAAAGAGACATCAGTGGTACAGGAGCCTCTCTCCCCTACTGAACAGCAAGTTTTTGTCACTCTGGGATCTCAGTTGGGGCCCCTCTCAGGATCCAGTGCCCTAAAAATTTCTGGTCTGATGTTCAGACAGGGCTTGTCCCAACGAGGGAGGGAGAGGCAGAATTGTGGGCTTAGCTTGGAATGGAAATATAATAATAATAATAATAATACCCAGCACTGATTGTGTTCTGATTATGCGGTAAGTGGTGTCCCAGGCATTTTACATTGGTATCGTTCTGTATAATCCTTACAACCATCCTAAAAGTAGCTACATTATCATGAGGCCCTGTTCGACATGAAGAAATGGAGGTTAGAGAGCTGCCCAGGTCCCCTAGGGGGTAAGTGATGGTGTCAGCTTTCATCACTTCTATGCTATCTCATCTCCATGGGCAGACTTGGGTCAAGAGTGACAGAATAGGGCTGATATTTTTTTTTTCTAAAACAAGGTCCAGTCGAAAGGACCAGGCTGATCTGGTTGCTGAGCACGTGAGGTGTGTACAGATCTGTGTTCACCAAGGGTCTTCCCAGTGCAAGCCCTGCCGGGCCCCCACTGTGGCAACACAGAGGCAGACCTTGGCCAGCTCTGGAAGAGGCGGCCCTCCCACAGGTGAGTGAATTGCCCAGGACACCCACACATATAGTCTGGGGGCGGGGAAGGATGGAACTGCACCAGGCCCACAGCAAGCAGACTTCCTAATGGTGAGGCCCCCACCCTCAGCCTCCAGAGGATCTTTCTGTCCGCCTGCGTGTTGTCAGCGCAGCTGCCCTGGAAGCACGGCTCTAGACAGTGACCGCACAAGCGCCGGGGCAGGTGGGTGTGGGGTCTGACTCATGGGATGTGACTCAGGGTCCTGGGTGTTGGAGTCAGAGAGACCGTGGCAGGGGTGCTCACTTGGGTAAGTCACTTAACCTCTCTGAACCCCAGTTTCTGAAACATCAAATGGGCATTATACCTGCCTCATGGGGCTAAGGGGGAATTAGTAAGGAAATGCATTGAAGGGCCAGTCATAGGGTGGTTAGGCTGAACCAGGTGGGGTTGCTACTATCTGACGGTTTAGACCTCCCCCAAATGGCAATTTCATATCATTTAATCTACTGGATGCTCAATTCAAAGCAGTGGCAGTTAGGG